GGAGGGCTCTAAAATGCTGATAGAATCATTTGACTAATCTGCTTTTCTTTCTGAAATTTTCAATTTCATTAACTTTCAACGTTTCCTTAGGAGGATCTTGAGAATCTGCCTTTGCTGTAGCCAGACCTTGAAAGTTCTTTGTTCTGGATGTCCCACATGTACGACCTTAGGAGGAGGTTATCTGGCCCAGATACCAGCAGGTACGTCGCTGCTGCTGAAGCTGGTACCGAGCCTGTGGCAGCTGCTCCTTGGCCAGCAGGAAGGTCCTCCCGTTGCTGCAGGTGGCCCCACACGGTCAGTGACTCCAGATGGCCATCCTGGTAGGGACCAGACGTCCGTGGAAGGCACATTTGCCAGCCAAATGTGCTCCTTCTGCCATGGGGCCTCAGCGCCCACTGAGGCCTAGTGGTTGGGAAGCTGTCACCGGGCAGGCTTTAGGGTACACGTATTTATGAAGTAGCACCATTTCTGGGCGTGACATCCCGTAAATGAAATGTAAAAGACTGAAGTGATGGTGCAATGTATCTTTGATAGCAAAATACTTCAGAATTGCCAGAAAGCTTTTTACTTTGCTAAATGGGAGGTGCCGCCATTACGGATCTTCCACCGTTGCTTGCTCTTCAGTGGAAGTTGGTGGTGCTGCTACAGAGCTTTTCCTGCAGCACTGTGCCTTAGGCTACAGGAAAACACACTTCCAAATTCCACAGACACCTCTGCTGCCATGGAAGCTGCTTCCTTTTCGTTCTTTACATTTAGACTTGCGTGGTGTTGAAGTTTAAATGGATGTTGACGTCGGTATCCATGTCCTTCATTTCCCATAGAAACTAGGCCTGCTGCCTTGGTGTGTGTTGCACTCTCCATTTTGGCAACATCCAAGGAAAGTCTGCCTGAGCCTTTTGGAGGGAATATGTTGTCTGTGAAGTCCTTTCCATTCTTGCTTTTTGTTTACTCTCCCCTATGCTCTTTCCCGTCCTGTGGAAGGCTAGGCCTGGGACAGAGCAAGCAGGCTTCCTCTCAGCTGCCTTAAGGATGACACTGGTTTAAAATCTGCTGAGTGTTTTCCCTGTCACTAAAGGCAAAGGATGAATTTATACTGGGGTTGTGAAAGCAGATTCATTCAAGGAAGAGCTTTCAAGAGTCAATGGGGCTGTCACATGCCACAGATCGGTAGTGGGACAGGCTGGTTCAGGGTGATGCTATGTTTTCTCAATGAATTAGCTTAGGTTTTCAGCTGGAGAGATGATCGGTCTCTGGGAGGCAACAGAGAAGCTACTGTTGGTGTGGCTCACAAAGCAGTACAGTTCTGATGATGGTGGTAGATTCACACGTGGTAGATCACATTCATGAATGGAGGCAGCGTGAGTCAAGGTGTCGGTAGGGTTGTGAAACACTATTGCTCACTGCTGACAGAGCTGTAGCCTCCTGAGAGGCCTGTGATGTTTGGCATGCCTGTCTCCTCTGCTGCTGAGCTCTGGGGACCACACACAAAATGCTGTAGCCCTTCCTGCCCCTCTTCCCACACTGAGTGACACGGTGGCTGAACTGGTCAGTCTGACATCCTGCTGTGCAGGGAGGCATATTAAATCACGGGTACGGTGTCACAGTGATTGATGTTAATTATATTATCTTCCTACCTTTCACCTGTAAGAAGGTGCATTTTATCTCTCAGGAGAGTTGGGGACATGCTCTAAACAGATGGGTTGGGTGCACGCTCTAATTCTAGCTACCTCTTTCTTGGGGAACAGCACCCACTATTCTTTGTTAGAACGATGAAACTTCATGCTGAGAGCCTGAAATACCCACTTGAATGGATTCTTCTCCTTAAATCCTGAAGTAGCAGGTTGGGAGCACCTACACCCTGTCGGTAGATGTGTCTGGAGACTGGGCTCCAATCTGTGGTTGCATTTGTGGACTGAGATGTTAATAAATTTGGCCTGTTTATTCATCAATATGAAAAATGCTGACTGTTCTCTGTTGTAAAGATAGAGTCCCTGGCCTGCCACCTGCTTCATGGAGAAGTCACCACATGGCCACTGGTCTCTTCTCATCTATGGGTGAGATTCTAATCTGTGGATACCTTCATGAAGACAAGCAAGACTCAAAAAGATCATGTTAGGTCTACTGCAAGCAAGGCAATTTTGGATATAGATTTTAGCAATCATTTCAGCCAAGGTCATACAGATGATGTCAACCTAGTGCTCTTGGGCAAAGGTAGAAGAATCCATTCAAACATGAATTTCGGTCTCAGTGTGTGTGGTTTATTGTTACGCAGTGTGGTAGAGTGGTACTCTTCCCCAGCTAGACATACTGGTCCTATGGAGAAATACATCTCCTCGGCCAACTAGGGTAGACCTTCATTGGCACGGTGCATCTTGATTCTTTACCCGTAATGAGACATCTCTTCCAGAATCTGGACTACTTTCTAGCATTAAGGATTCCATAGCTGAGAGGAAACCAGGCTACAAGCACATGTGTAGTCTTGGAAGGGACTACTCGAGCAGCACATACTTACAAAAAAAAGATACCTGGTATCAAGTATACAGAGCATGTGCACACTCTAGGAGAACACCTATGTAGGAAAGAAAATCTCAGCACCAAGCCTGAATGCACAGATACCTCCCCGGAGGCTGAAATTGGCTTTCTGGAAAACGAAGACGAATAGGATTGGGAAAGGTAAGTTTAGGAAGTAGTCAACTACAGTTACTTGATAAAGCTTAAGTGTTTTTTCACTAGCCTTAAGACATCTTACCCAGTCATCATGCTGGAAAAGATGCATTTTTTTAAGCCCTTTGAAATAACAACTAAATCTGCTAGAAAAAAAAAAATGTATTTTATACAGAATACATGTATCTTCACACATATATATGCTGTGTAATGGGAAATTAAGAGGCAGCTTTAATGGTTGTGAGCTAGATCAGGATAAAGCGCTGACAAAATTAACTCACTGATGGTTCTATTACAAAGATTGTGTTATGACAAAATCTAGAAAAATATGAAAACGATGAAATGGTTTTTACACAGGACTCGGTAAAATTAACAAAAGGCACCACCAGAGGGCCCTGCACTAAATATGTTGGCCCTAAATAAACTGGAGTGATGAGTAAGCTATCCATTTTACTATAATAATCATACAACTGCCATCTTTTCTCTGTGGATAGTCATTAGTAGTCATCATATGGAAGCTAATTTTGCAGAGAATGAATTAGTGATTTGAGGAAAAAGTGAGTAAAATGGCACAAATGGGAGATATCAGTGGCCGAGTAATTGTCTTGGTGACATTTGGCGTGTGCTAAACTGGTCAGATAAATATGTAATTATGGGTCATCATGACTTCAGGAGCACTGCGAGTCGCTGGGCAGCAGGATGTCAAGCTGTGGCTAGCCCGTGCTGGGGCTTGCTCTACCTCAAACCTGGCTTGTAAGAATTTACCACAAGATTACTTGCTTTCTGCAGGAATTTCTGGGAGGCTGAGGCAGCTTTCCTTCCCGTAAGCGATGCTGCACCCTTTCAGAATCAGCTCTTGGTGTCCTGGAGCACGTTCTTGCCCCAAACCCACCTTCACTTTGCTGCTCCTCCCACCATCACCATCTGTTGCCCAGATACATGGTCTGGTAACTAAAACAACTCAAGGATGCAGTGCCAGGAAAGAGAATGACATTAGAATAAAAAAAATGTACATTACCTCTGCTGAAAATACTAATTACAGAAAACACTAAACAAATTGCCATGGTATTTGGTCTGGCTGTGACTGAGGCAGCTTCTGCCTCGTGCTGGGGCTCATCTCCTCTGGTCTGCACAATAGGTTTTATGTGCCAGTTGGTCTCCTGGTGTACCTTTAAGCATCCCAGAGACAAACCTTTGTCCTTTGAAGCTCCCCTTTTGGCCTGAAGGTCTGAGCATGGTCATGGGCAGGGACAGGATGGCCAAGATGAGCGACAGCAGGAGAGGGGTGACAGGAGAAGACCTTTCCCGTGCTTGCATACTGGGTGGCTGAGGATGTAGCTGCCCGTTTGCCCTACCCCTGTGGTCTGCTCCAGCTTCTTTACTCTGGGTGCTGTCTTCTGCACTGGCAGAAATGCTGCCAGTGGTGCTCTGCGCTGTGGCAGGGCTTGGGCTGCCTCCCAAGAAGAGGTCCTCGCTCTAGAGGTCCTACCTCAGATGATGAGGGTCATCTTTGGCGATGTCCTACCTCAGATGACAGGGATCATCTTTGGCGATGTCCTACCTCGGATGACGGGGGTCATCTTTGGTGATGTCCTACCTCAGATGATGGGGATCATCTTTGGCGATGTCCTACCTCAGATGACAAAGGTCATCTTTGGCAATGTCCTACCTCAGATGACGAGGGTCATCTTTGGTGATGTCCTGGCCCCGAGACTCACAATAAAGGGCTCCCGAGGTGAGGGGAGAAGGACTTTTAGCCTGGCCAGGACCCCTGTGAGGGGGTGCAGCTTCCCCCTTGACGCCCCCCTGCCCAGGTAGCGCCGGGCACAATCGCTCCTCGCAATGAAGGAGGGAACCGGGGCCAAGAGCCGTTCCTGCGCCCGGCGGGAGGCACCGGGTGGGGAGGCCTCCCCCCCCCGCGCCCGTCCCCTCCGGCTGCGGGGGCCGCTGGCCCGGGGGACCGGCACTCCCCGGACAGCGCCCGCCCGGCCTCTTCTCCGGGCTGCCCGGGGAGCGTCCCCGGGGCGGAGCGGGCCGCTGGAGGGGGTGGGTACCGGGCACCCCTCGGGGCGGCGGAGGGGGGTCCCCGCGGCCCCGGCAGCGCCGCCTCCGCTCTCCGCCTCCCCGGCGCTGGGAGGGCGGGGAGCGGGGGCCGGGACTGGCGGCGCCGTGAGCGAGCCCTTTGTGGATGAAGCTGCTTTCGGCGGCGATCACCGCGCCGGAGCCGGCGGGGCCGCGCCGCCGCCGCCGCTGAGGGCGG